ATTATCATATTAAGATATTCCAGCTGTTAAACCTATTTTATGAAAGTTACAGCACAATAATAATCATGTAACCTTAAGTGAAATCAAAATCTTGTCCTACTTGATAACTGATTAACACGAATCAGAAAAACCTACATTTTTTTTCCTGAGGTTTAGTATTCCTATAAAATGTATAATTCAAAATTTTTATAGTTTTCAAAAAGTGTACAATTGTATAAAAAATGTACAAATGTACAATTTATAGGCCCATTCAAGAAGTTAGAAAATAGGAGATAAAATACTAAATTTAAATGGAAAAATTGAAGCATACTAATGCTCTCAAAATTATGCCACTAATCACATGAAAATGACAGATTTTTTTTTTAAGAAGTCTAATCTTTAAGCTTCAGCTTTTTCTTGTCAGCAATTACAAATTTTTGAAACTGGAAACAATTTAGTGGGAAAAGTGTGGAGTGCTGAGTGTTGATCCATGATAGTTTGTAATCCAGTAATTTTTTTCCTTGCTATTATTAAAGATTGGCATAATTTCTTAAAAGAAATGAACGTATCTGTAAAATTCACTTTTTATTTTCTTTTAGTTCTATACTTTAGTGGGGTTTCTAAGCAATTAAAATGAGCATTTCACCAGAAAAGTACTAGGGAAAAAAAATCGTATAAAAATAACCGTATCCCAAGAGGTAGTTATGGGAAAACACAGGTGCTTTTAAAAATCTCCTGAGGGAATTGTGCAATGGGTACCACTTTACCATCACAATAACCAGCCCCAGAGGTTCTCACCTAAACTAAGATAATTCTCCATTGGGTGAACAGTGCTAGATGAAGTATCAGAGTGTTTAACAATAATATTTTAATTATGGATTCTCTTGAGTTTTGTACTAATGAAGAGTAAAAACTATATTAAAAAGCTCAATCCAAGGGTACTTTGTGACACAAACCCAGGAATGAAACACACGGCAATTACTATTAGCCTTTACTAGTCACAATTCTCTCACATCATCCATAGACTTGACTTGGTGAAAACTAAATATACTGTCAATTAAAAATGGAGTAGGAAGGTGAGAAACAAAGATAAAACTAAAAAAAAAAAATCTCTGTTCCTTCTCACCCTTCTTCCCAAGCCCAGCTTCACTCCTTAACTCCTGACTCCTCTAAGTTCTCCCTCTATGCACAGATGGGGAATGGCAGGTTATGGGTCAGTCTCTGCTTCTCCTTTCTACTCATGCTATTCCTCTGTTCCAGCAGTAGGTCTGTCCCATGGGATACAGTTCTCCATGAACTGTTCCAGCATTAGTCCTTCACACAGACCACACTTCTTCAAGAACTGTTCCTGAAGAGGTTCTTTCCACAGGGCAAGTCTTTCAGGAGCAGACTGTTCCAGTGTGGGTCCTCCACAGGCTGCAACTCCTGTAAAGATTACCCTGCAGCTTGTGGAGAAGACCATGATGAAGAAAGTTGTCCCCTGCAGCCCATGGAGGACTGTGGTGGGCACCTGGAGCACCTCCACCCCTTCTACTTCTTTGGCCTTGATGTCTGCAGAGCTGTTCATCTCACATTTTTTCCTTACTCATCGCTATCACACACTGCTGCTCAGTGTTTTTTTCTGTATCTGAAATGTGTTTTCACAGAGGGGCCAACAGCAGCACTTATGGGCTCATCTTTGGCCCGTAGCGGGTTCCTTTTGGAGCCAGTTAGAGCTGACTGTTTCTGGCAGCTCTTGATCTTTTCCCACAGAGGTCACTCCGGTGGCCCCAGTGCAATCAAAACCTTGCCATGTAAACCCAAGACAATTTTCTAAATTTGCACAAAAAAATTCAGTGTTTCCTGCTTTTGAAAACCCAAACACTGATGATAAAAAAAAATCTTGCTAGGTAATATTAATCTAAAATGGTTTCATCTTAAAAATGTGTTGTCCATCATTCCATCTTTAAAAACAATGGATTTTTCCCCTAACATTATAACATTATAATATTGAAGACAAAAATAAAACTTTTTTAAAAAATTTAGTCTATGATAAGCGAGCTCCAGAGTTCAGCATTCTGAACTTAGATTCTGTACAAGTCCACTGCAAAACATATTCAGTGAATCACACATTTAATAACCATATATTCCCCATAATAATCAGAGATAATACAAAAAAGCTGTTATTATTCCTCAAAATCAATAAGTTTATTTCAAGGTCACATTCACTGATGAAATAGAAAAAATCTTTCCCATAAACAGCAAGTTTTGGGTATAGATCTATACTATCAACAAGTTTGGGGTTTTTCTTAATTTTATCCCATCCTAGATGAACCAGTTAGATCCATTTAATATTTGTTGCCATGCTATTTGTCAAATAATACAGCTAATAATTTAAACAGTGTTTTCCACTCCAAGAAGTACAGTCAATAAGACCACATAGTAACGTCTGATCTCAATTGCTTCATCAATTCTGCTCATCTTTCTGCACGATAGAAGTTAGCCTTTCAAAAACTGTATATGGAAACATTCTAAACCAACATATAGCCAGCTAAGAATAATATTAAGGGCTCACATTTTGTGCAAAACATAATTAATATTAACTTTTGTGTGTTTAGGATTTCAGTCTGCATGATTTGCTACTGTTAGTGCCAAATTCTACATTCTGTGGAAGTATGCATACTAAAGAGCAAGAAAATCAAGTGTCAACATGAAATCATTTAGACTAGGACATAAGAACTTCACTTCTGTATTTTGATACCATGTTGAATGTAACTAAAACTGTAATTAAGGAAAAAAATGTTGCCATTATTTATACCCTTTAAAAATGTGAATCAGCTATACAACAATTAATAACACTGTAGTGTTGTAAACTACAGTGGATAGTCCAAATCATCTCATAAATACAGGTTTTGGAGAAGCTAGGGTCTTACGCAACTGTGGTTTCCTCTGGAATTCATTCCATAATACCTTACCCATATCACTTGTGTCTATTTGCTGAATAAAGCCCTGATCATTCAGAGTAAGATGCGCACAGACCTTTAGAGAGCTATGGTTTCAGTCTTGCATATTATCCCCTTTGCTAACCTGAACATATAACCATCACCCATATTTTACAGAAATCATCCTTTTGTACTCTTCTAACAGTGCCTCTTATGTGTTATTTTATTTGAACTCAAGCTACCTTCCCAAGAAAAAAGGCTCTTAAATCAGAAGTGAAAGCCATTCTTTTCAGAATATTGACAGTATTACAGCAAATTAGATCATAGAATCATATAATAGTTTGAGCTACAAGGGACCTTCAAAGCCCATCTAGTCCAAGACTCCTGCAGTGCGCAGTGACATCTTCAACTAGATCAGGTTGCTTGAGAGACACTCTCAGAATTTAGAAAGGTTCAACAGTGACATTAGGATGTCTCTACACAGGAATAGACAGGTTCCATCTAACGTATAAAATGAGTTAGGCTGCAATCTTTGAAAAAGCCACTCTGTCCTTCCCTAAGTCTTATTTTTCATTTAATGGCAGCAACAAGGTTAAAATATATGCTAACTATCTCTACAAACAGCTGTCTTCTCCACATATGGCTGCCCAGGTCTCCAATGCCATGACTGATTTGGATGAAGTCATTGCCAAAGTAATTTTTCTCATAAGGCTGCTTCTGTTTTAACTAAATTTTTGCTGCTGTGAAGAGAGTTCATTGTGGCATTAAGGGTTCCCCATAGTCCTTCTTTCCTCTAACGCTGTTGACCTTTTATTTTACTCATGTTTCCAATGGATGTTTGGTGTCATAGAAGACTACTTGATGTGGTACTGTTTACTCTGCCAGCAACCAGAGGCCAGGCCTTTGCATGCCTTAGCAAATGAGCATCTTTGTGGTTACATTTCCAATCTCAAATTACATATATTACAAAGAAAACATGAAAATTAGGATATGATATGGTATGATATGAAATGAAATGCTTTGGTATGATATGATAAAATAAATACTAGTAAAGGAAAATCCAAAACAAGTGATTGTTATGTAAAATATTTTATAAAGGTAAGCTATATGCATGAATTGCAATTTGCTTTTCCTGAGTCACCAAAGAAATATAGGAAAAACATATTTTACATTTAAAAGCAGACCTGAAGTACAGAACCTTTCCCTACTAATCTTTCCCAAAAGAAATTACTTTTTTCAATTATAACTTTAACCTGATCCTAGTTACTCAGACTACCATTATTCAACAGTAAATGCACATAGATGACATTACATTATTTGTTTTTTTTTTGGCAAATAAGACTGTTACTGTTTCTCACTACTCTTACTTGTAATATCAAGTATGTACTTGGTTGGGAGGTGTTTTTTGCTTTCTTTCACCCAGCTTTCAGAGTTGCCTTGAAAGTAGGAGCCTTCTGAATTACTAGTTAATTACTGGCATAGAAAACCACAAAATAAAAGAAATACCCACAGCTAAAAGTCTCTGAATAATTTATCACAGCATTTTTAGCAGTACAGTAAGATTTAAAAGTGAGATCTTTAGAGAAATCAGAAATAAGAAATAAGATCTTTCCTTCAGTTCTCTCTTCCCTAAGAAGAGATTCAACATTCAGCACGACAAAAAATTCTCACGGCTTTTTTTGCTTTGACCTTCATCAAGACTCTGCAGCTATGAAAGCTCACTCAATTTCTTCTGTTACTACCAGTCTCCACTTTTGCTCCCAAGTCTTGTCAGACTTGTCATATCCTCCTGCTCCTTTTAAATATGAAAAGATGCTTCTTGCTGTTTCTCTACCCTACAGAAATTCAAAGTCATTGAGTTCGAATTGTCCATGTCTGAGATGCTGACAGGGCTGTTCTATCTTGCACAAGCGTTCTTTCAGGGACACATTTTGACATTATGAAATAGTAATTCTTTAGGGGAATGCTCCCTGAGTAACCAAATGAAGCAATGCACATACCTTATTTTTGTTCAGCAGCTTACTTAATGCATTTTGATGATCACAATTTACTTAGTGTTGCTTTATTTTTCATCTAAGGAAGCCCCTGAATTTCTTTTACCTGCAATTTCAAACTTCTCTTCTCTTCTTCCAAACTTTGCTTTCCTGCTTCAAGTCTCTCTCTCTTCTCCCATCTAGAGGTATTCTCACACTGCAGTCTGTCCAGCTGGGAAGGGTTGGGGTGGGAGAAGGAAGAAGCAAAACAGAAGGGGGGGGGGGGGGGGGGAGAAAAAAATAATGAGATTCAAAATATAATAATATGATCTATATTATATAGATCATATTATTATACAATCTATATAATTATATATAATAATATATAATAATCAGAATAATATGAATCAAAAATCCCGTTCTTCACCAGATGAGGCTAATGGCCTCACCTCAGGAGAAGGAGGACATCTTAGAAACCAGTTCAAGATATGAGCTTTCCATGTTTCATAAAATTGAGTACTTGAATTTGAAAAGAAAAAAAACAACCAATCAGGACAGTCAAGTTTTCACTGATTGTACCTTTACAAAAGTAAAGCATAGGTAATGTTTTAATATAATCACTGGAAATCAAATTTAATTTATTTTCCTGCTATTTATGGCACAAAAGTATTAAAAACCAAAACCAAACTTTTTTTTTAAGTAACATTGAGACTGATTTTGGTCTGACAGTATAAAAGTTCACCTTTTATTCCCCAAAAGATGAAAAATGAGCATGTTTTTAGTTACAGTCTGCTTATACTTTATAAGAACTATAATGAATATTCATCAAACTGAACTAGTTCTGGACTATGTCTTCAGTACTAGAAACCACTAGCCTAACAAGCAGAAAAAGTATTTTTAAGTTTGCAAAAATCTGTTTCTTGAAGTCACAACTAATAGTCTTAAGGGAAATATTATCCTTTTATGGCCAATACTGTAAACTTAATTTAGGATAACCAAGCTTCCTGAATTCATTTATGTAATCCACATGTAGGAGGAATTAAAGACATCAATAAAAAGCCATGTTACTAAGTCATATAAAGTAATTATCAAACAACTGATTTTATTTAGTATTCAGAGACAGCTATTCAGAGGTTTTGCCAAGAATGTATGAAATGCTTCTCATATTTCAAAAAGAAAAATTCGTAGAATGTATTTATTTTTATAGCATAAAGCAGTTATTTGTCAGGTACTAACAGATTTTTATCAGAAGATTATTATTGACACGTACTTAGTATTAAAAAGTTATTATTTACTAGTACTTATGAAAAGATTAAAAGAGAATCATGAAAATGAATCAAGAAAACATGAAAATGAAAGATTCCAGCTCTATCAACTGAGATTTAAAAAAGTGGAATGCTAACACATAATGTCAACATTTTTAGAACAACACAATTTTCAGTTCTGTTGTAACTAAAATAGATTACTTCATAAAAGTAGCAACTGACAAGAGTGCAAGGCACTTCTTCATTGAAGAAACAGAATATCTGTGCCAACAAGGCTTCAGAAAGACCTGGAGAGGTGTATTTTTGAGATATTGGTTACTTTAATTTTAAATCAATTTCTGGCAAATAATGGAAAGCTACTGAACCTGAAGCAAAGAGAATGAGGTGTTACAGCATCAGAGAAACATAATTCAGACCCTGTGAATCATAAAAATGAGATTAGCTATCTAAATCAAACAGTAAACCTGTAGTTCCCACCTTATTTCTGAGCAAATAAAAAGAATCAGAAACTATAAAGTCAAAGAGACTCATTTAGATTTTCAGAGAAAAGCAGAAATGCTTTTTGAGTCTCCCTAGTATGGACAAAAAACATATTCAAAGGAAACTAACAAGAGCTTGTTTACTAGAAATGAATATATCTTTCCAGGTATTTCTCTAGCTAGTATTCTATATATGACAAACTAGAGAGTTCCCCAAAAGACCGAGTAAAGTAGGGGGGAGGAAAAGAAAAAGAAGTAGGCAATGTACTTTTTTCACCATAAGTTTCATCTTCTCCTGATAAAGAGCCATAAAAGACAGGCAGTAGGGCTGATGTTTCAAACAGCTTCCATGTATAAATTAGAATGTGATCATAAGCTTACCCCTTTGAAAATGAGGTCCATAATGTCCACATTATGGCTTACATTATTAAGTATGGGCACTTTATGAAGTTGCATCTAAGTAATAAATTATAATCCATGGAATAGATAGGAAATCAAAGGCAAAAGAACTAAAACATCACAATAAAGTACTTCATTAGCAAACTAATTAGAGCTATCTCCAAATTCTATTTCAAAGCCAATTCACATACTGTATTACAATCATCAACCATTATGAAATTTAAAGAGAGCAATGGACAGATTCTCCACATGAGACAGGGTAATCCTGGTTATACATACAAACTGGGAAATGAGAGACTGGAAAGCAAGCCCATGGAAAGAGAACTGGGGGTTTGGATTGGTGGCAGGTTGAATGGCAGTTAACAATGTTCCTTGGCAGCCAAAAGTGCAGATCATGTCCTGCGGTGCATCAAGCACAGCATAGCTGGCCAGTCAAGGAAGGTGGTTTTCCTACCCTATGCTGCCCTGGTGTGGTCCCATCTCAAGTACTGTGTTCAGTTTTGGTGCACAAATATAGAAAGGACATCAAACTATCAGAGTGTCTCTAGAGGAGGCGACCGAGTTAGTGAAAGGTTTCAAGGGCAAGACTCATAAGGAGCAGCTGTGGTTACTTGGATTTTTCAGCTTGGAGAAGAGAAAGCTGCGGACTGACTCCATTTCAGTCTGCAGCTTCTTCAAGGGGGAGGTGTTGATCTTCTCTCTCTGAGAAGGGCATGAGGAAATGGCACACAGCTACGTATCAGGGGAAGTTCAGGATATTTTTGGCATGGTCTTCCCACCGGTGATGGAGTACAAGATGTTAATTCAGTGCAAAAGACAATGTTAGATGCTCACATATTCCTAATGAGGTCATTAAACTCTATTCACTGAATTTCTGTACAATAACTAGACATCAAGGGATCACATACCTTTGTTTAGCACCAAATTATTTATTAATTACTTTTCTGCCTCAAATTGTGTAGATTTATAGTTGTTCAAATATGGTCTACTGGACTACAATCACAACCCCCCTTTTTTTTCACATAAATATGCAGACACAATGCTTTACAAGTACCCACGAAATATCTGGAACATGAGAAATCCATATGTTCTTACAAAGCATCTGCCAAAAGACAGAGCTCAAATTCTAAGCCTCAAAGTGATGACAGTGATTAATATCAAGTCATTTTTTGGCACATTTAAGAAGAGAGAAAGCACAAAACCATCCAAAGTGGAATTTCAGTCAGATAATTAAGCACAACTACCAAACCAAGCTCTTATGTCAAATAGAAATTGACTTATCACTTTGTCTGTAAAATTTCAATTCATTGCACCCAAGATGTCTACAAACTTTAAGAATCACAGAATTACAGATTTGTTAGGGTTGGAAGGGAGATCATCTAGTCCAACCCCCCTGCCAAGGCAGGGGTACCTAGAGCAGGTTACACAGGAATGTGCCTAGGTGGGTTTTGAAAGCCCCCAGAGAGGGAGACTCCACGATCCTTCTGAGCAGCCTGTTCCAGTTCTCTGCTCTCTCACCTGGTACTTGGGATTCTTCCTTGCCAGGTACAGAACCCTACACTTACCCTTGTTGAACCTCATTAGGTTTCTCTTTCACCAATTCTTCAGCCTATCAAGGTCCTACTGAATGGCAGCTCAGCCTTCAGGTGTACCAGCCACTCACCCACACTTCCTACCATCAGCAGATTTGATCCATGTTTAGCATGGAGAAAAAGAGGCTCAGGGGGAAACCTTATCACACTCTACAGCTATCTGAAAAGAGGTCGGTGTCAGTCTCTTCTTCCAAGGAACAAGCAGTAAAACCAAAGGAAAGGGTCTCAAGTTGCACCAGGGGAGGTTTATATTGGATATTGGGAAAAAAGCATTAAAACAGTTGTCAAGTGTTGGGACAGGCTGTCCAGGGAAGTGGTTGAGTCACCCACTTCCCTGTTTAAAGACCTGTAGACGTGGCACTGTGGGACATGACTAGTGGTGGACTTGGCACTGTTAACTTAATGGTTGGAGCTGATGATCTATGATTCTATGTTGCTGTGTTTCTTTAAAGAGAACCTGTTTTGTTTTGTTTTCTCCTCATTACATGAAAAACACACACCCTTTTAATTACTCTATTGATGTCTTAAAATCTATTATCCCCTTTCAATTTTCACAAAAACATTTCATAGGAACATAATACTTATTTTTCATTTTGAAATTTATTACTGAAATTTCAATTAACAAAAGCAAATTGACAATAGTGATATCTACACATCTACAGTGAAAAGAATTGCAGAGTTGTTTTATTTTCACATAAAATATACATTTTAATCTGTGCAGAGAATAAGTATGCTTTTGAGTGGAACTACAGATTCTGATTTATAAAGGAATTGAAAAAATAAGAAACAATTTACAACATGTAAAAAAAACAAAAACAAAAACACAAAAAAACAAACAAACAAACAAAAAAAACAACTGAAACCCACCTTGGGATGTTTCATTTTCCCTTCAAACGGGAATATGTTTTCTCTCCAGAAAATGTCTCTACAAACTTGCACTGAATTTTAATTTTCAATAGGAAGACCAGAACAATGGTGAAAGCATAGACAGAGGTCAAGTTATTGCGAGTGAAGTGGATAATTGCTGAGGTGAGTGGTAGCAATGAAATATGGTGTACTGTCTTTTGAAACTAGATAATAGCATCTTAAAGCTAACTTATACCATTTTATAAGTAACATGAAAGACAGAACCCTGAAAAAAACACACAGAAAAAGGAGCTCCTTTTGGTACAGTTCATTAGTGGGAAAATCTTAATGCTCTAGTTCAGTTTAAGGCATCACGATGGTAACTGAGGCTCAAAAGATTTTATTTGAAACAAGTTTTTTCTCCTTCCTTTTCATCACAGAAAGATGAAGTAAGATGGAGGACAATTAAGCTGCCTACCCATTTTTAATGGGAGTAATGACAGCTAAAAGAAGGATGACAAACAAGAGATGTAACAGTCAATATGGTTCCAGATGGAAAATGGAAAATTTTCTACACAGCCCTCAGGAGCAAGGGAGATTAAGAATGCAGCACTTTTTTTTTGGTTATAGCGCAAACTTTTGTCAGCTTTC